TTCACACCATGGTTCTATGACCTAACAGCTGTCTGTATGTGGACAAGGTATTTATGTGCACTGAATTGCTCATCTGAAAAATGGAAATAATGCTGATCTCCTTTAGAGGCCTGGGAAGATTAAATGAAACACATTGAATGAAAGTACCCAAGCTCATACCAGGTACACAGTATTTTCTTGATAAGTTTAATCTCCCATTTTTGTAGTTAATAAAAATTTATACTTTTATAGGTTGTTTTTAAGTTTATTTTGAGAGAGAGAGAGACAGACAGAGAGAGAGAGTGTGTGTATGTGTGAGTGGGGGAGAGGCAGAGAGAGAGGGAGAATGAGAATCCCAAGCAGCCTCTGTGTTGTTGGCATGGAGACTGATGAGAAACGAAACTTGAAATCACGACCTGACCCGAAATCAAGAGTCAGATGCCTAACCGACTGGGCCATCCAGGCGCCCCTATCCTGTGCTTTTATAGTTTTATAATTCATATTCTGTAGTAGTTATAGAACCTAGAGTGTTACTAGTAGCAAAAAGCCTCAAGGTCGTTCATTGTACCCAATATTTCTACATAGAAGTAAACAGAGTTCAAAGAGGATTTCCTTTGCCTCAGGTCACAAAGCTAGTTGTAAGGAAAGCTTTCAGAGACAGTGGAGCATAGTGAATTAAAAGCTTTGGAGTCTGACAGATCCAGCTTTGAATCCACAGGACATTACTTTCTAGCTTTATGATAATGGAAAAATGAACTTCTTTGTGTTTCAATTACTTTATCTTTAAAATGTAGGTGAAAATATATATCTCATAGAGTTATGAAAATTAAATGATAGACATAAAAACAGATTGATTCATATGTAATAAATGAGGATGGTAATTATAATCTTCATAATCTTTCCATCATGTGATTATTCAATTTTTATGTGCAAACATCTGACATTTTTTTTTACCTGATAGCAGCTCAGATATCAGACTTAAAAATCTTATGTGAAAACTCTCTTTAAGAACTTACTATAAAGCAATAATGAAAACAATGGGTTATACAACAATGAATTCCAGAGCAAGTGGCTATTTCCAGAAAATTCCTAACAATATAAAATAGGCATCTATAAGTTATGCTGGACTACTGGTTTAGGAAGAAGGACAGCTGGGGATTGGAGAAGGTCTTATGTTCAGTTTTCCAACTTTTCTTATTAAATCTGACTCCAAACAATACAGTTTGTATGTTCTGTGTTGAACAGTGTATTCCATTACTAAGGGTTTTCTTTCTCTAAACTATCTGGTTTGTATAGGTTTAATGTTATTATTAAAAATAACGTGTATTTGTTTTTTGAGAGAGAGAGAGTGACGATCTTGGCCTGATCTTAGGCTCAGTGCTTGGCACATGGCAATAATAAATGTTCACTATTATTACTACATTGCCTATAAACTCAACTCTTCTCTCAAGCCCTAATTCAAATCCCTCCTCCTTCTAACTTCTTAGCTGGCCTGTTTACAACTACACTGTACTGTGCTCCACTCACCCACTTTATAAACCACTTCTGTTTTCTATCTTAGCTTTCCTTCCCCTCCAGATCAGTTTTTAAGAGCTTATGTATTTTACTTTATTGACAATTTAAACATTTATGTTTGAGAACATTGTGTGTATCTAAATATACACAGGTTCAAAGCCATTTAAATTGCTCCATTGTGCCGGTGGAATGCGTTTTCATCAGTGAGGTCCCCAAACTGCATCTAATTAGGATGCCTAGGGTCTTCCAGGTTGGGACCACTTGGTATTAGACAAAGCCTTGGATGAGGAAATTAGTCCTAGGTGTCGGGCTCTTCACTGCCCTATCTCCGCTAAGACTTCCCTTTCCATATATAAGAGTTTGATAGACTTTTGGTCCTTCTAGTTCTAAAATAATAGTTCCATATATTTTATGTGAATATATGGAATATAGTTCCATATATATGGAATATATATGGAATATAG